CTGGAGGTGACCCACAAGGTGTGGCAGACCTCTCCAGAACCACCCACTGCTCCCCTCAGCAGTACTACCTTGATCTGCCTGTTATGCTCCCTATTCTGTCTCTGGTGGATCCTTTCACAGCCCCTGCACCTCTAACTTGTACCCCAGTTCTGTATGCATAAATAAATAAATCTTTAAAAAAAGTTTCAATTTTTGTTTCTATTGGCATTTGTTGGTGACAAGTGGCACGAGCTCGCATCTTCCAGTTACAACTACACTGGATCCCTTGAGCCAGGCAGTAAATAGGCCAACCTATAAGGTAGAACTCATTTTCTTAATGCAAGGAGTCCTTAATAAATCTTGGTATTTTCCATCCCCATAGCATCTTATTAGAACATTTGCTACCTCTAGACTTAAGCCTTACCTAAGGAAGATGCTCATTGGCTGAGAAACCAATAAAGTTCGTCCAAAACTTTTTGAAGCAAATTATAAAGTCATCACAAGTTGTATCCAAAGGACACCTTCATAGTAACTCAAGATTTCTGGGAGACCTACTTAAACAAGGCCCCCTGTGTTCAGTGTAGGGAAAAGAACCTAGGCCTCCATCTGGGTTGAAAGCACATGGAGTAGCATATGTAGTCATTCAGGAAGGGTTCGCTAAATCCCTACTATGCGCAAATATAATAAGCACTGAACATACACCAGATACTCAAAACAGCTAACAGGTCGGTGGAGTCCAAGTCTACCTATCCCGCCCCCGCCCCAATCCAGCACCACGCCCTACCGCCCCCTCACACCTCCTCACATCTCCCCCAGCTGGGCCTCCTGCCCCCCCCACTGCGCAGGCGCAGGCGTGACCTTTCCCGGGCACTGAAACCTGGGTGGGCCAAGGAGGGCACCGCTTTGTTCCCGAAGTTTCCCAGGGAGCTGGTGAGAGAAGTTGCTTCGCGGTGAAGACTTAAATTATGAAGAACTAACTGGGCAAAGAAAGCAATGTAAGGTTTGTTGGGAATGTGGCTGGGGAGGCAAATTGGCTTATAAAACTAGTGAGATTCGGGGGAATTAAAGTAAAGAATGTTAGTTATCAAGAAATACAGGGATGCTGGGCCCACAGGTGGGCGTCTGAGGGGCCCGGAGCGCCCCACACTGCCTGTGAAATACTAGCTTTCCTTAGGTGAGCTGGTCCACATGCGTGTTCCTGCTCTGCCCGGGTGCTGACATGCTGAGCTGGCCAGACGCCTCCTTTAGCAGTCTGGGTCACTGAGGCGCCGCCAAGGGAAAGGCCTACAGCCTGGACGTGGCCCTAACCGCAGCCCCCCAAAGACAGAAGGGAGTGGTCCGAACCCTCCTTGCCGGCCGCAGGGAGCCGGGCGCCCCGAGTGTTCGGCTGGCGGTGTTCCGACCAGGTGCGTTTTCGCGGGGGCGGGGGTCCGGGCGTGGCTTAGCCGAGTCACCGCCCACTCCCGGTCGCACCTGGGGACGCCCCCACTAGCCTAGACTCTGGAGCGTGGAGGCTGGGAGCTCCGCCTGGGAGACCGCTGTTCGCAGGGCGCCCCGAGGCGCTGAGCGGCCGGGGCCACCCGGGCCGTCGCGCGCCGCGTCGCCACGGAGCAGAGTCCGCGTTCGGAGGATGCCCGCTGGCGCTGGCCGCCCGCTGTCTCGCTGCGGGAGCCGGTCGACGTGGGGGCGCTCGGGACGCGGGCGTGGAGGGCGGTGGGGCCACGAAGCGTGGTGCGGGAGGTGAGCATCCTTCGGCCGGCGGGCGGGCGGGCGGGCGGGCTGCCGCGTGTCCTTGGCGCTGTGGCCGTTGTAGAGACTGAATGGAGGTTTTGGGGAGACAACTTCGCCTGTGTGGTTCTTGATCTTTTCATTCAACTCTTTGAATATATTTAAAATTTTCGGATCTTACACTGGTGTGGGTGCAGGTGAAAATCTTCTAGACTTCGGGTAGTTTAATCTGAGCCATCTGCTAGCCCCCTATACTCAGTTTCTGTCCTTTCCAAGCTTGAGTTTGAATTAATTTGGAATGTTCAGTTTGCCATCCACGGCCACTGCGGTGACTGTGCGATAAACTTTTGTGGAAAGCTTGAGGGTAACAGGTAACAACAGGGCTTTAGAAAATTCCACAGTACCCATCAAGTTTTTAAAAATGTGTGTTCCAAGTGCGATGTGAAGTACTCCAATACAGTAAGTGCATCATTTGATTTTGGGGGTAACCGATGAATATGGAATTACTTAAAAGTAAATAGAAGTAACACAAAACTAATTGCTTGTTTTACGTTTTTGAATTTAATTTTTGATGATTACCTGTTAAATATGTATCTTTAAAGGGAATAGAGAGGATCCAAGTTGTGTCATTGAGTACGCAGAAAATTGTTAAGTAAAGATTTATTAGATATTCTGAAAAGGTTTTAGAGTTCATTCCAAAAAATATTACTGCTGTTTGGAAAGAACAGCATTTTAACATTTGAGACCAAGGGGAATAGAGAATTTAAATCAGTAATTAGAGATGTTTTCAATAGTCTGTCATTGCTCACTCTCTGAACTTCTAATTAAAAAACTTTACCTTATTAAGTAGATATTTTAAAATTTGAACCTTAGCTTATCAGAAAGATGTTAGAATTTTGGAGAGATTGCCTCAGGCTCTGGGATACCATTTAAATTTTTTTTTTTAATTATTGAAGAAGTCATGTCATGGGAAAAATAAGAAATTGTCTATACAGTTCAGCTGTTAACCAATAGGAAGAACAGCCTGATAACTTTTTTGTGTGTGTGTGTGGAAATTTTAACTCTAGTGCCTGGTCGTAGTTTCAACTTAAGAGTATGTAATTTAATTTTTTTTTGTTTAATACATTGAAATATTTTATTATTTCTTAATATACAAATATCAAATCACTGTTTTGTATACCTGAAACTAATATAATGGTATGTGTGAGTTTTTCCTCAGTTTTAAAAATATTGTTATACATCCAGTATGGTGTAACTACTATTTTTATTAATGAAAAAAAGAGCAATTTACTCAAATGCAGGTGCTCTGAGGATCACTCACCACATCAACTAGTGTACTTGGGCATTTTTAAATTATAAAGTTGTATTTTATTATACTGGAAGATGACTTGTGTGCCTGGATTGTAGAATTTTTTAATTAGGAAAACCAGTTACCATTTCACAACACCTAGAGTGATTCTAGAAAATTAGTGCTTTGGGTAAATTATTTAGTCTGCTGTTCTATTTCCTGTATCATTTATTTAAAAATATCTTTACTTTTATGAAGGTGGTTTAGTAATTTGAAGTGTGTCCATGTAACCTGTGCTTAGATGTGATGGAATTTGATTAACTCTACAAATCCTAAATATGTTGCTCAGTTGGGATTAGTTTTCAGTGAGCCTTACCTTTTCTTAATTCATATTTGCTAATTATCCTTACTTGTCAAAAGGAGCATTTTTTTTTTCACTTTAATTCAACAAATATTTCAGAGGATGAGTTTTGCATTGATTATATGTGTTTGTAGGGCCTTTGGTTTATGCTTTGTAGTGCTTAACATTTTATAAAGTTAGAACAGTAGTAGGGATAGATTATAAAAATTTAGTTTTTTAGAAATAGCTCTACTTTATGAGGTGAGGTCGAATTGCATAGTAACTGAACAAAATTCAGAAAATGTTAAGCCCATGTGTGAAGTACACCTGATATTTGCTTTAATGAGAAACTTGCCCTATATAGTCCTTGAAGTCTGGTAGCAATTCTATATCCTTGGAATGTATAATCCATGTACCGGAAAGCCTTTGTAAATACTGGTTTTGAAACTAATGATACCTTCTGTTGAAAGTGGGTTTTTAATTGTCAGCTGAGACTTTGGTAAAGATGCAACTACCAGTGTAACTGTAAATATATGTGGACAATTTAAAAATCTTTACAGAAATCACATTTTCAACTTGGGGTAGCTTTGGTAGCATTCATTAGACCCAAGGTAGAAAAAAAATATTTTGACTTGTAGGTTAGACCCAAGGTAACAAAAAATATTTTGACTTGTAGGTTTCTCTGTGAGATTGAACACTGACAAAGAATTTGAGAACAATAATGCAGGAGAGAAAAATCACTGGCTACCTGTCTTGTCAGAGTGCAAACCTAAAAACCAACATTCTCTCAAACTTCAAAGGGAGAAATACTTTCCATTTACCAACCAAGATAAAACTTTAATTTCTTTTTCATTTACTAGCATGAGCTTGTTGTCACTAACCATCAAAGAAGGGAGAGTATGGAGAGGGAGTGTCATTGATAGATACTGACAAAGAGTAAGTCCATAGCATTTTTGAATATTAAATCAGCAGGAGCCATTGTAATCCTTTAAGTCTTGGGATATGTAGACTACAATGATGACTTGAAGCTCCAAATTGTTTGCAGAAACTGTGTGATTGTGTTAATAGTTGTCCTGGAAAAGATACATGACTTTATCATATTTTCTAAAGTATGTGAAAACCCCCACCATCCCCCCACAAATTTAGCAGTAATAAACTTGTGAGATTTGGTTTTTATATGAACAGATTTTCCTTTTTATAAATCAAAATAGCTGCATAGTATCAGAGCTAGGATTTCAATCTAAGATTTTGACTACCAACCCTTGATTATTCTATTAATCTACATTTATTGTACCTTGAAGTGACCTCTTTTTTGATAGGCCAGTGTTCACTACTCTGGACTTACAAGTCTTGTTTAGAGAGACATTTCAAGCTCACATTAGCATTTTAATGTTATTCTTAGTAGAAATTATTAGTAATAAACAATCATCCATATAGGGAGTTACGAACAAACATTTTCTTTGATGAAAACTTTGCCACAAGTTCATTCATATGATTAATGTTAGTAAGACAAATCAAAAATGGACAAAGCTTTTATAAAACCAACAAATTCTTTGCAAGTAGAATTACATATTGTAGTGGTTTGTATTCAGGGAAGTCTTACCCTATACTACCTTGAGCTTGAAATGATAATTTTACTTAAGGTTAATATATCCTTTACATTCTTCTGTGTGGTGTGTTTTGTATGAAATCATATTTAAGGAATGAATAAGAAACAACTTTAGCAAACAGAAAAGAACAAACATTTTAAAAATTCTTTTAGTCCATATTTTTCTCTCAAAATCTGATGTTTTGGTGTTTGTGTATCTTTCAGGCCCATGTAAAACCTAGTATTTTAGTTTTTCCAGATTTCTTGTGCCTGCATGTCTGAGGTATTTTGCCTATACAATTATAAGTATTTATAAGTATTTTCGATGTACCTTTTTTTTTTAAATACTAAAAAGAGAATAGGGCTTCACAGGTCAGTAAATAATAAAACTGCTTGAAAAAGAATGGAGGAATGTTAAATGATTAACTTTAAGCTGTAGGTATAAAAATGTATATTTTGCATGATTAAACACATAGCATTTTATCAGTGTTCTGTGTGATGCATAGATTAATACACACAAGCAAGAAAGTATTGATTAATTGAATTAGCTTACTAAGTGGTTATTTGTTAATTTTCCATTTTCATATATGTAGAAACTTAGTCACAGAGAGATTGGTAACTGGTCCAAAATGTACAGTTAGTAAGGGGCAGAATAGGATTTGGAACTTAGGTGATCTGGCTTTACCAAACTATCATAAAAATATTTAGGTAATCTGTCCATGTACCAGTAAAAAAAGAAATATTATTCAAGCTACTTTTGCTTATTTTTTTTAAAGGAAAATTACTTGCTACCTATAGCAAATTATTGCTTTGGTCACCTTATATTTAATTTGATTATCCAAAAGTAGGACTAAAAATTTTAATCTGTAGAATGGCATCACAGAAGTTAAGAAGAAATAAATCAAGTTCATTTCTCTGTGTATGGTGCTTTGACCAATGTTCTAGTTAATATTCTCTTGATAAATTTACTAATATTTAAGTTTTGCCTACAGATTTGTTTGATGTTCTTTTAAGTCTCTAGTTCATCTACTTGGTATAACCCCCACCAGGTTTATTTCATATGATAGATTGCCTAAAGATAAACTGCTTTTATAGGATATTTAAGAGAGTTATTATTATTATTATTAAAGCCAGGTAAAATCTTGAATAATGTGATGTTGGACAAATTATACTAAAATTTGTTCTTGATGGGAGCTTCAGTAAGGATTCACATTATATACATGTTACTGGTTATTGGCAGTTGTTGCAAAATTCAAATATAAGTGCAGATTAATTTTAAAGGAACATTCTGCCTCTTTCATGAGGATATGAACATTATTTAGGAATAATAGTTCTGTGTTAGTGTTTCCTGAGCATAATTCCACTACACATACACATAATCCATTATTAAGGAATTACCTTAAAACAATGTTTTTATCTTTCTGGCTTCAGCCATATATCTTTTCCTTTTAGGTATAACAGACCATGATAGGTGAATAATGATTGATACAATAGGATGTGTAGAAAATGAAAAGTATTATTGAACATCTGTAGGAACATCTGGCATAACAAGAATGACTCAGCACACAGTTAAATAGCATTAAAGGATATTGTGAAGCACACTGTTGGTTTTTAACTAGCAATCAATCCAGAGAAAATTGATTTAATGCAGGTTCAGTCATTAGAAGTTTTTCAGATGATTTCTCATGTATTAATATATAGTTATTTTCCTACTTTTAGATATGACTAATTTTAGAGATTACTTTGCTGCTGGGGAAAGTAATTGATAAGCTTCCTGCAAGGATTAAATAAGGGGCTATTATTATTAGTCTTTCTCTTTCAAGAATTTTGAATTCCCTTGAAAATTATGTGTCATTATCTTTAATCACTGATTATTCCTTTGTAGTTCCCTAATGTCTTTTAAAAATCTCATAGCCATAATAGATTAGCTATAAATCTTATCCCTGTACTTTTGTAACAATCCCCTAACTCCTTTTGCATGTAATTTCCATCTGCTGTGAAGCAAATGCTTCAGTTTTGGGTTATATTGATTGATTTGTTCATCCTTCATAGCCTGTTAGCACAATTAATTTCTATATAGATCCTTCCAGCAACACAACTAATTTCCAGGACTTTGGCCAGATAGTCATTTCTGTTTATAGCTATATAAGGGGAAAGAATAAATGGTTTTAAGCAAAGTGATGACTTCTTGCTGATTTCATTTGCTTTTCACTGTTGTATTTTTTAATACAGTAACTTTGAAGGCACTTTTAATATTTAATTTTAATTTTTACACTTTTTGGGACTCTTAATTTTTTTACACTTTTTGTGGCTCACATAGCACATAGCAGCAGTTATTCTCTAGTAATACTCATCTAAATATATTATAAAGCAAGGTTGCTATATAGAAGGGTATGTATCCAGGTTATTTTCCATGTTGCAGATTAGATTGGCAAGTTATCTTTTGCTAGCTTACTCCAGACAGAGTTATTTTATTTCTATCAAGCCACTTCAATCTTGGGCACTTTTAAAAGGTTGAAAGAACTAGGACTGAGTCAGAGAAGAATTGAGCTGTTTTCTCACCTTTTTTTGTAGCCAGGTTGACCATGGCCTCTTTGTGGAACCTGATCTATTTTTGTCAAAGCTTCTAGACTCCAAAGGGAAAGAAACCAAGGGAGTCCTAATCCTTGGGGGCCCCTTAACTTTAATTACTCCCCTGGTGAAAAGCATCCAGATTGGAGGTACCTTCCAATAGCCTGAACTCTTGGGATGCTCTTTAAAGCATATAAATTACTTTTAACTTTATTCTCATTTGACTATCTATAATTAGAAAAGGTCCTTTCTTAGACCTAGAGGGAAAAACCTGCCTCTAAATTTTAGAGCGCTCCATGAGTTCAGTACAGGACATTAAAACAAAATTAGAACTTTAGTCACCACAAAATCATGGAAATCTTTGAGGATTAGTTTTAAACTTTTTGTTTGTGAAAGCCCTTGTACTGTAATTGAAGTGACCAGGAGTCAAGTCTACAAAACTGTTCAATGTGAGAAAAAAATCCTAAAGAAATTTCATCCCTCAGCAACAGATCTGATAAAAGCAGGTGCCTGGCCCTACCTGTGTCTGCACTTTGCCTTTACTGCCCCAAGTGGCTCCATGAGGAACACCACCCATACTTATTGCAGGACTTGTGAATAATAAACTTAATATTTCAATGCTTGTCTGCTGTTGACTTATAGGTCACCATTTGGTGATCTATACTCATAACAATCTTACTGGATTTTCCAATATAACTTATACACAGGCTTATTACTTTTTTTTTTATCTTTTTGGTATTTCTCTTTTCTGTCCTCAAATGTAATATATTTTAACATCTCCCAAAAAGAGTAAAACAGACTTTTTCCCACTGACTACTTTGTAAGATTCCCCCACCCTGTCCTGCTAAATGGGTAGTTCTAAAGAAGAAAATTTGACATGTATATAGTGAATATAGAATTCATATATTTATTAGAAAGAAGGTTTAAAAAAATTTAGTCATACGCATACATACACATTTGTCCATGTTCAAGTTAACTCTCCTGCAGAGAAAATTCAGTTACTCTAGTAAGTATATTCTACTTGGAATTTACAGTTTTAGTTTTCCTTTCAATGGAATATTCCCAAGAATTTACAGAAGAGCTTATCAAGTTATAACCTATGGTTGGTGTACTTTGTGATTTCAGTGTTCCTGTGGTTATATTTTTTCCACATGCTAAAGAGTTTGTTTTTTACTATTCTATTATTCCGAAGCAGTCCTGTACAATTGCCAGTCATATTAACTTACAAGTGTGCTTTAGATTCTTACTAGTATACTTGAAATTCACCCTGTCGCTTACCGTAATCATAGTAGACTTGCAAATACCATTAATCATATAATTACAAAATATTTCACATTGTTAAAGATATTATTACATGACTACAGTTCACAAGGGAACTTGTGAGGAATAAGCTCACAATGTTGCGAGCAAGAAGCACTGAGTCTTGCACAAAATAAGCTTCCCTCATCCCCCCCTCCAAATGAATCAGGAGAGAGAAGGAAGAGAAATTAGTTGGAAAAATAATGAAGAGGACAATAGAGAATTTTAGAGGAAACTTCTGACCATAAATTTGTACTAATTTCTTTCTTTTTGTAGATATTCCTTTGTCATTTCTCATCTATGGACTGAGTCCTTATTATAGTTGTATGATGGTAGATTCCACTGTGGAGTGGTAAGTATTTCAAATAATAACTTTGCTACTGCAATTATACTACTGTACTGGCTTTTACCCACTTTGGGTAAACTCTTCTACTTTACAATTGACTTGTAATTAATTTGGCAACAGAAAAGATATATGAATAATGTTTTTTTTCATACATTAGAATATGTTTAAAGTACATACATACTTATAATTCACAGTAAAAACTTCTGGGTACTTATTTTATAAACAACTTGGTTGGTATTAGATATAGAAAAATGGGTGAATTATAGTCCTGTAGAGATTGACCTATACAAAATTTAGCATAAGTATTCAATCTTTGAATAACATATTTGAAGAGTCACACCAATAGTTAGAATGTCTGTGCCATTAAAGGGTGGAAATGCCTTTTGAACCAGCACATAAGCAAAATAAACTAGTTACTTTGAAGCAATTTTTTCTTTTTATGTTTTTATGTTTTTTATCTAAAACAGTATTGCCATATTTGACCACCTATATGATCTGAAAATATCTCCTTAGAATATGGAAATTGAACCAATTTTTGACATTAAAAAAAAATGCCAGTCATAGAAACACCCAATTTATCCAAGGTGGATGAATTTTCTGTTTGAAAATTAGAGAAGTGATGGGTTGTTTAATAATAAATACTGGGCCCTCCCTGGTGGTGCACACAACCAGGTTAAGGACTCTATACTGCAAACTAGCCCCTACCACTTCAGTGCAAGTTTGATCCCAGCCCCGGAGGTGACCCACATGGCACAGCAGACTTCTCCTGACCAGCCCACTGCACCCCTCAGCAGTGTACTTAGTCGATCTGCCTTTCAGCTCCCCACTCTCTCTCTGGTGAATTCTCTCACTGCCCCTGTACCTCTGGCCTCTACCCCAGTTCTGTATGCATAAATAAATGTTTAAAAAAGTGCCTTTTTGCCAGTGTCAGCTATGGAACAATTGAAGCTTAGGCAATGCTAGTACTAGTGTATAAATTCAATATAATAAGAGATTGAGAAGTTGGACTACACAAAAGTTAGTCTTCTATGAGAGAAAAATTCTGTAAGTAAAAATAAAAAACTATTGCAAAAATTATAGTAGACAAAAACTGCAAATATATGACAAATTATTAACTAAAATATTATCTTACATATTTTTAAAATGAAGAGTAAGATGGAAACCAGTGACTCACAGAAAAACAAGATTACTTAACTTTGCTAATCATGGGGTAAAAAGCAAACAAATGAAGGTATGAGCTTCTCTTTTTGTTGTTTGCACAGGTAAATTTGATAAAATACCAAAATGTATTAGAGAATATTTTCTCAATTTTTTTACATTAGAGATGAGTTAAAGAAAATAAGTTAATAAGGCCAGCTGAAGAAAGATGAGTTATTAAGAGACTAAGAAATAACCACCTGAGTAGTAACTATAAAATCAAGATTATGAGGTCACAATAGTCTGGAAAAGTATGTTTTTCAAAGACATATTGGTCAATAGTATCAAACAAAGAGAAAGGCTAAGTAAGTTATGAACCAAGAATGTACTTGTGTGAGTAGGAGACTGAAATGGAAATCATTGATGATTAAAGATTATTGTTCAGGTAGACTAAAGGAGGATGAAGTCAACATAGGTTGTGGGACATGAAGAAGGTGATCTATAGAAGGGCAAATATGACCCTGGAAGGTTTTATGTTGTTCTGTATATAACTAGCTTTGAGCCTATGCAAATGTTAGGCAGGACACAGAGGTAGGTTAGAATGAAACACAGAATACAGTGGAGAGGTAATTGAAACAACGAGGACAGAAGAGCCCTAAAATAGAGATGATGAGACCTAATTTTTATTATTCCTGTTTTTTGATTTTTAATTGCTTAATATATAATAGAGGTTGACAAACTTTCTTTAAAGATCCAGAAAATAGATACTTTAGCCTTTGTGGGCTTTAGGGTTTTAGGGTTATTTCCTAAGCTGCTGTCTTCTAATAAGGAAGTAGCCACAGATGTTAGTTAGGTAAATGGATAAAGCTGTGTTCCACTGGAATTTAACTACAAACACTTGATTTGTATTCTATACTGTTACTTTAAGTAACATGAAATATTCTTGGTATTTCCCTATCATTTAGATCTACAAAAACTGGTATGTCTGGGTTGAATTGGCTCACAAGCTATAATTTGCCAATCCTGATCTCCAAAATGAAAAGTTCTACTAAAACATTTTATCTCTACATTGTATCATCTTCACTGAGGTTTTCTTCATTTAATCTCATTAAGTCTATATGTTATTTATCATATATGTCATCTAATTTAATTTTTTTAAGATTTATTTATTTGTGCATACAGAACTGGGGTACAGGCCAGAGATGCAGGGGCAGTGAGAGGATTCACCAGAGACAGAGTGGGGAGCAGAACAGGCCTACTGATGAATCAGTACACTGCTGAGGGGAGCAGCAGGAGGGTCAGGAGAAGTCTGCAGCACCATGTGGTCACCTCTGGGACAGGGGGGGAGTCGAACTCATGTGGAAGTGGCTTTAGATTCTTAGTGCTGTGCTTTAACCCGCTGCGCCACCAGAGAGGGCCTTAATTTAATTTTTTAATCACAAATTACTGTTCATATTAACCATTTAGAATTCTACAGGAGAAGTTAGAATGTATGTGTTTGTGACTAGGATTCTAGAAATATTTGTATTCATCAGCAACCCTTTCCTGAGACTTGCTAGAAGAGGAATGATCTTTGACATATGTCATACCATCATTACAATAATTTCCTTAATATTTAAAAAATTTTAACAAGTATATTTTGGGATGGAAAAGTGGTATTATTTGGTATGCTAAAAGGTAATTGTAAAAGTAAGTTTCAGTATCTTTCATTTGCCAGAAAATTCTGAAATAGATGGTATCTTATTGTTAAAAAGAGATTATTGAAAGATGTTAAAAAATAAATTAAACAATACGTGTAAATTAGCAAGCTAGTTTAAAAGAGAAGTAAAAAAACTTACTGACGCTTCATACACAGATACAGCTCAGATATTGTGAGTTTGATTCCAGACTGTAGCAGTAAAGTAAACCATGTTAATTGGTTTCCCAGGGTATATAAAAGTCATGTTTATGTTGATTTTTCTCTCTTTTTTTAAAAAAGATTTATTTATGCATACAGAACTGGGTACAAGCCAGAGGTGCAGGGGTGGTGCAGAGAGGATTCACCAGAGACAGTGTGGGGAGCAGAACAGGCAGATCGACAAAGTACACTGCTGAGGGGAGCAGTGGCGGGTCAGGAGAGGTCCGCCACGCCATGTGGACCAGGGGCAGGGAATCGAACTCGCACTGAAGCATATGCAGCTAGCTTGCAGTGCTGCGTCCTAACCCCATGCGCCACCAGGGAGTGTCCTTATGTTGATTTTCAGTGGCGCACACCTGAATTATATAATATTATTACACTATGTTACTTCAATTTTTAAAAAGTTATGTTTATACCATTCTGTAGTCTTTTAAATGGGACATGTCTAAAAAGAATGTTGTATACCTTAGACACAAAAAGTAGTTTGTTGCATAAAAATATTGACCTTTATATGAATTTTCAGTGAATCATAATTAGTGGTAGAGGGTTTTGCCTCAGCCTTGATGGTTTTTTACTTATCAGAGCAGTAGTTGATAAAAGTTGGTATGGCTGTGACAATTAAGATAAAATAACAATGAAATTTACTGCATTGGTTGACTCTTCTTTCAGTGAAAGGTTTCCTTGTTGCATTGTGATGTTTATCAAGAGCATATTACCCATAGTAGAAATTTCAAAATTGTAATCAATCTTCTTAAACTCTACTCCTATTTTCTCAATTAGGCTTATATAATATTCTAAATCCTTTGTTGTTATTTCAGCAATGTTTTCAGCATCTAGTATTAGATCCTAGTCCTAGTTTAGGACTAGATCCATTTCAAGAAACCATATTCTTTGCTCACTTATAGAAGGAACTTTTGAACTTGAGTTCAAGTTTTTCTATGAGAGTGTAGCAACTCAGTCACAGTTTCAGGTTTCACTTCTAAATCTAGTTTTCTTTCTATTTCCACCATATCTACATTTGCATTCTCCATTGAAGCCTTTAATCCTGCAAAATTATCCATGAGGGTTAGAACCAACTTATTCCAAATTCCTGTTAATATCTTGATACCCTCCTATGAATCATGGGTATTAACAGGAGTTTGGAAGTTGATTCTAACCCTCTTGGATGACAAATGTGCCTATCATCTAGGCTTTATTGTCCCATTAATAGAGCACAGGCAGCATACATTTAGCATAATTCTTAAGGATCCTAGGATTTTCAGAATGGTAAATTGGCATTGGCCTTGACATGAAGTCTCCAGCTGCATTAACTCCTAACAGGTGGATTAACCGGTGCTTTGAAACATGGAAACCAAGAATTGACTTCTTTCCAGCTATGGAAGTCCTAGGTGGCATCTTCTTCCAATATAAAACACTAATCAACATTGAAAATATGTTGTAGAAACCCTTAAGATCTTTAGGAATAGATGTTTTACAATTGGGGAACCCTTCTGCTTTTACTTTCTATGTTTAAGCTTTAGTTCATTCATTTGAATATCTGTTAAGGACCTGCAATGAATAATGCCCTGTGTATGAACTGTTCTTGAAGTTTTTAGAATTTTTTGTCTCTATTGTCCATTGCTGGTTACCTAGCATAACACAGTACCCCACGGCACAGCCTCACTCAAACCCTCAGGATTGAAATTTCTGATTCTAGTTTTATATAGAGAAAAATAGATAATGGTTATAGGAAGTTTGTATGTATATTGCAACAAATATTTTGCAAGTAATATTTTGTAAGTAAATATAATAGTTATAAGAATGTGACTATGAATGTTAAGAAGTGTATGTATAAATTCATCACCTTAATGGATTTGTTTGGGCTAACCATAAAGGAGTGCTGTTCCAACTTGAAAGGTTATACTTGGAAAGATCATTCAATGTAAACTTAATGAAGGGCTTTGAATACTCATTGTGCCCTTTCATCATACTTTAAAAAAAATTTTTTTTTAAGATTTATTTATTTGTGCATACAGAGCTGGGGTACAGGCCAGAGGTGCAGGGGCAGTGAGAGGATTTACCAGAGAGAGAGAGTGGGGAGCAAAATAGGCAGATCAACGACGTACACTGCTGAGGGAAGCAGCAGGCGGATCAGGAGAGGTCTGCCGCGCCATGTGGACCACTTCCAGGGCAGGGATCAAATTCATGCTGAAGTGGCTTTAGCTTCTTAGTGCTGTGCTTTAACCTGCTGCACCACCAGGGAGGGCCTCATCATACATTTCTAAACTAAGCTACTTTCTGGCTAAGTCATCTCCTAAGCACTAAAAATCAGATATCTGTATATTTTAGAAGTCTTTCTGAGTAAATCCTACTAAAGAAACATTTGATAATAAACCAGAGAACTGAAATATCACCCCATCTTTCCTGAAAAAAAAATTTAACTATAGTTAAAATACTGAGTATTTTCTTACTCGGTTGAGAGTTCTACCATTGTATGCAGTAGGCATAGATCATGATTATTAAAGAGGTTTTGTAATATATGTCATCTTAAATAAATTGGTCTCCCTATAGCTCCCTTAGTAAATTACCAGGTAAATATAGCAGTCTTAAGATCTCTCTCTCAGACTCATACATTTTTAAGGGTATTCTTGTTAGAAGGCAGCACTGCTTGTCAGTGTGGGATGAGGGAAAGGCTATTTTTCTTATCTTTGTAAAGTTCTGTCCATTTGTTATTGTGATCCATGTTTGACTGGAAAATTGTAAGATCATCCTTCAAAAAAGGCAGAGGAGTTGTAATTAGGAGTAAAGTGTTTTGTGAACCTTCTATAGAATCTTATCCTTTATGATCCTTCTGTAGAACACTGTCAGTCATAATTGGGATTATGATCTAATGTCTGAACTAAGCAGTTTATAGGTATCAGGAGGCCCTTGAGTGATATTTTGAAATGGTATGAAGAGTACATATTTCTGTATATTTTACTGTTTGGGGGGGCTCCATTAGTAACCTTTGATGTTCAATTTGAGTTGTACTTGAAAAGATAACTATAGGGGATGGTAGGAAGCTGGTAGGGAGGGGAGAGGAAAAGTAATTTGTACTACTAGTTGACAGTATATGAAGTCTTAGTCCATTTGCAGAGTGGTACTATAGAATTGCTGCCATTGAGTGATAGGCTGTTTTGATCATCAGCTATAGAGATGATTATACAATAGCTGGTCTATACCTTCATAAATTTTTCCTAAAGCCAAAACTTCTGCTTTAGAAAATACTGTTATATTACAGATGTATAAATAAAATATAGACTGTCTGGCAAGAATTTTACCAAATATGAGTAAAAAATACTTGGAAGTTGCTAAGCTTTTCAGGTGTATGGTGGCTTTTGATTACCCAGTTACAAGTACGTGAATTGCAAAGAAAGGTCTATAAGAAATTATAAAATTCATTTTTAATATTATACAAAGATGAGAGTTTTTCATTCATTTTCTGTTTTGGGTAAGCTGGGAAAATTGAGATTGAAGCCTGTGACCAAGAGTATTTCATTATTCAATTCCATTTGGGAATTTTTAGATGTTTTATTGCCATCGCCTCTTACATACTAATTGACTTTCTGTTTAATAGTTTTTTTTTTTTTGCTTTTAGGCCAACAACAAAATGGAAATGAGAGAAACTGCTAGATACAAGCCATTACGGAAAATGATCTCAACCAGTGAACCTTTCCAAGGTACTGGTGTAGAAGTCAGTCCTTTGAAGAAATTTACTATTCCTAAAATCAGGAGAACAGCTGAGAAAGGTAATATTTCTATAGATGATGGGGTTATTTCATTTATTACTGCTTTTCTCTGACTTTTACTTTATGTTCATCTTCTGTTTTGATTATAAAATTAGGTTTAGTCAGGTCTTTAATTCCTTAAACACATGTAATAAAAACATAACTCCTTTCCCTCCCACTAAGTACACCTACAAATATTGAACATAAGACATAAAATAGCATAAGAGATTCTGAAAGGTAGAAGATAGACCAGATAAGGGCCCCAGTGACTCAAGGAATGACATAGTAGTAAGTTCTCTGAATATTCTTTTTGACCTCCATGTCACAAATGGAATACCCATAACCCAAAATGCCAAGTCGTACAGACATTATAAAGCCTATTCTCTCTCAACAAGGACTAGGAAAGAACATCCTAGAAAGACAGAAACTTTTTGTTCATAAACATCGTACTTCTTGAAAAACAGTGAAGTAGAGGCAAATGTAACCCCTACACCTTTGTCAACAAAGACCTGCTGCCTATTTCCACTGTGCCTCTCCCTTTCGTGGAAGTAAGAAATTCCCCTCCATGCTGTTTCTGTCCTTTGTAACATCAGTGGATTTCTACGCAGATGGTGGTAGTGGAAGCAGAAGCAGAGTCTGTAAAGATCAGGTGAGGAGCCTACAATTGTGTCATACCCACTGACAAGACATCCATACTTGTTCTACCCTGTCAATAGAGACTAAATACTTCCACTCATGGTTTCTCATGGTGAACAAGCTGTTAGTGGAGACTTTGTGGAAGGCAGGTACTTCAACCCCACCTGGTGGTAAAGAATAGGCATCCACTGGGTTTTCCTTGCTTTGTTTTAGTAGAGGCTTGTTTAAACTCAAAATTAACCCCAAATGACCAAGATATAATAGGAAATTACTCGTCTTACTACCAACTAGGAAAACCTTAACATGAATGAGAAAAGATTGTCAACAGATACCTAACGCCAAGATGAAAAATGTTGGAGTTATCTAACAAGGTTTTAAAGCTGCCATTTAGTGCTATTTCAACAAGCAGTTGTAAGCACTCATGAAACAAATGAAAAAGTAAATAGAAAATCTCATCAAAGAAATGAAAAATTAATAGAAAACCAAGTAGAAATTTGGAGATGAAAATGAAGTAATTAAAATGAAAACTCTCTCGATGGTTTCCAAGAATTGAAAAGTAGAATATAACAGTGAATTTAAAGATAAAGCAATAGAAATTACCTAGCCTAAAAAATACAAAAGAAATAGAAAAAAAATTAGCAGAGCTTCTGGGACCTGTGGGACAATAACAAAAGGTCTAATATCATTGTCCTCAGATTTACAGAAGCATAAGAGAAAAACTGTAGAGTTGAAAAGTACTAGAAGAAATTTTGAAATTTCCCCAAGCTTAAAACAAGGCATAAACTTACATTGTTAAAAGACTGAATAAACTCTAAATAAACAAATAATTGTGTGCCAAAGCACATCATAATCAAACTTTTGAAGACTAAGCACAGAAAAAAACAAAAGAAAAAAAAATCAACCAGAGAGAAAAGTGTTATTTCTAGGGGAAAAATTGTTGAATTTCAGACATTTTTCATTAGAAGCCATGAGTCCAGAGAAAGTCCATGAGTCCATAATATTTTTCAAAAGCAAAAACCCTATAAAAATAGCCATTAGAAATAGATACAGAATGGACAGCCTAGGGTAAACAAAAACAATCAGCAGATCTATTTTAAAAGAATGATGAAATAAAGTTCTCTAAATAGAGAATGACAAAAGAAGATGGCAACATTATGAATAAAGGAAGAACAATGGAAAGAGTGGAAGTGGGGGGAATATAATAGACTGTTGTCTTCTTGAATTTTCTGATTATGCTTGACAGCTGGGACAGGAATTATAACTTTGGTGTGATTCTTAGTGTATATAGAAGAAGACATGCTTAAGACAATAAAGTAGGATTGTTATATTTTAAGCTATAAAACAGTGATGAATGACATCAAAGCAAATCCATGTTAATGGAGAGGCATACTGTGTTCATGGATTAGAAGAGACACTGAATATATCAGTTCCCCACAAAGATCTGTGAATTTATTAAGCTTCCTTTCAAAAGCCCAGCAAGACTTTCTGTAACAAAGAAGTTTATTCTCAAATTTATATAAGACAGCAAAGAAAGTAGCATAGCTAAAGCGATTTGGAAATATAAGAGTTTGGAATTACATTATCTATGGTAAGATCTACTGCATAGCTATAGTATGAGCTATGGCAATCGCAGAGGGACATTTTTACATCAGTGGAGAGGAGTAGACCCACAAAATTATGCTCAATTCATCTTTCCATTGATTTTTAATAAAGATACAGGTATAATTCAGTATATCTTTTCTTAAATGGTATTGGAGCAGTTGGGACAACATGTGAAAAAAAAATACTTCACTCTAACTTGAAACACAAATTCAAAATGAACCTGAGATTAAATGTAAAAAAATGTAAAATGTGAAACTTTTGAAAGAAAACATGGAAAAGTATCGCTAGGACCTAAGGGTAGAAGAAAAGTTCTTAGAAGATTCTTAGGCAATATGACTCTAAAGAGGAGTATATTAAAAAAAAATTGGTAAATTGGACTTCATCGAAATTAAAAACTTTTTCAGAGGAGTCAGCAAGACGGCAGCAGAGTCAAGACACTGGACTTGCCTCCACCATATCCCCACACCTAAATTTCAGCAGATCAAAGTTAATAACCCCTGAAGGAAAAACAGGCTATTAAAGCACACATCAGGAACAAACAACAGTCTAGGTCAGAAGGTATGCTATTAAAGAACTGTAGGTGTAGGACTATAGGGTGATGCTTTCTGACTTGACCTGAAGCTCCCAATAAAGTGTAGAATAGAGCATGAACCTGTATTGAGGATGGGTAACTCACATCTCATAGAAGAGTCTGCTACTTGTAACCTGAGTTTTGAGATACTGAAAACACTTTACCCACCCAGGTTAAAACCAAGACAGTAAGTGACACTTTCATAACCAGAGTTTAAGTACTATTAACAAGGGCTAACCACCCTAGGATTAGATTTCACTGGAAAAGAAAACAACTCTGGCTTGTGTTAACTACAGTCCCTGCCTGCCCTGCATCCACTGCTCAAACACAGCCTAGAAGTAGACATTTAAAGTTGTTGCAGGAGGGCCCTCCCTGGTGGCGGAGCAGGTTAAAGCACAGCACAAAGAAGCTTAAGCCACTTCTGCTTGAGTTCAATCCCCACCTGCCCTGGAGGTGACCACATGGTGTGGCAGACCTCTCCTGACCTGCCTGCTGCTCCCCTCGGCAGTGTGTTTTGTCTATCTGCCTGTTCTGCTCCCCACTCTGTCTCTGGTGAATCCTCTCACCCTCCGCTTCTCTGGCCTGTACCCCAGTTCTGTATGAATAAATAAATAAATTGAAAAAAAAAAAAGTTGTTACAGGAGACAAAGGAGCTAGCCTAGAAGAGGAGGTAACTGTTTATCCCCTTACACAACCTTGGTACCCACAGCACTATAAGAAGCTTGAATCCTTGATGCTCACTAGGACATACCAGTTCCTTTCTACTTTTTATCTTGATAGTACAGTTATCCAGTCATTTCAGCAGATGCAGAGGCAGCATCTGAAAGTCTGTTACAGCCCATAATAACTAAAAATGAAGATGCAGAAAAATATATCATAAATGTTGGATCAGAACATCCCTGAAGTCTCAATCATGCAAAATCAAGGAATATTCATGAAGATGAGTTTATGATAATGGTTATAACAGTGTTCAATAAACTTTTAAAAAAGTGATATAAAACATGAACATAATAAAGATAAAATATTAAATAATTACAGTCAGAACATAGAGATCTGAAAAGTAACTATAACTGAATTTAAAAATACAAGGACTTTAGTGGTAGATAAATGAAAGCAATGGAAAAATTATTTCAAAAACAATGTCAGAACACACAAATGCAACAATAAAGAGAAAAAAGAAAGGAACTAATATAAGATCCCATTGGGATAACCTACAGAGAAATAGCATCTGTATTATGGGAGCTCTAGAAGAATAGAAAAAGAAGAATATGGAAAAATTGCTTGAAGAAAAAACTTTTCTCAACCTGGAAAATGTACCAGGCATTGTGATCCAAGGGGCATAGTTTTCCAAAGAAAATAGTACCAGAGAGACATATAATAAGGCACATTATAATGAAACGATTGAAAGCCAATGACAAGGACAGAATACTACAAAAGAATCCAGAGAAGAAGGAGTAACCTAGATGGGAGCAGCTAGCAGACTCTTTTCAAAGAATCAATACAAATAATAAGGTAATAGCAGGAGACATTTAGAGTTCCAGTCTAAAATCTTTTACCCTACAGGATGGAAGGTTGAGTTTTACTGAAAAGGAAAAACTACAAGAATTTATCAACACCAAACTACACGTGAACAGCAAATATAAAGGTAATATACACCTAAATTACATAACATGGAGGAGAAGTAATCTAACAATATGGCCCATCAGAATGCATTTGAGAGGGGACCATCCAAAAGGTTACACAAATTAGCCATTATATAGCCTCAGCAGAATCAATAGAAGTAACACATGAGACAATAGAAATGAAACCTAAATAAAACATAGAGATGACCTCAAAAAACTGATAATGAGCACATATGTCTCCATAATCACACTATATGTAAATGGCCTGAATTCACTGGTCAATAGGTATAGAGTGCCTGGATGGACTTCAAAACAAAGTTTAACCTTCTGATGTTTACTTGAAACCAACTTTACCAATAATGATAAGTATAGATTTATATTTAATGACTGAAAGATGATCCTACAGGCAAATGGCAACCAAAAAAGTCAGGAACAGCTAACTATACTTGTATTACATAAAATAGACTTCCAGTTCAAAACAGTAATAATAAATAACCCTCCTTACCAACAGTGACAAGTGAAGACTTAATGGCTGAAAGACAGTCCTACTAACAAGTAGCAACCAATAAGTCACAACCTACCTAAACTTAGATCAGGTAAAATAGACTTCCAACTTTAGGAGATTTTAAGAGATAGAAACAAACATAATTAAGGGCATAACACAACAACAAAAAAAATAACATTCCTAAATATTTATGCACTGAATGATTGAACAACAGGACACATAATAGAAATAGAACTAAAAAGAGATGCTGAAAACAATACCAGGGGATTTTAATTCTCCATTTGCAACTATGGACAGGTCAGAAAGAGAAAAAGGGGCGGGGGGAACCTTAAGTGAGGAGCTAGACCAAATGTGGCTAACATATCTATAGGTAATACCATCCTAAAACCACTGCATATACATTTTTTCCAAGTGGCCATGGAACATTTTCAAGAATAGGCCATCTGTTGGGACACAAATTGTTAATAAAATGACAAAAATTAATATACCATATGTGCCTCTGATTATATTACCATTAAACTAGAAATCAACTGGGAAAAAAATTAAATACATAGAGATTAAATAATGTGCTACTTAATAGGTATTAAATATTTAAGTTGTTAAATCAAAAACATAACTTGAAGCTAATGAAAATGAGAATGTGAGCTACCATAATCTATGGTAACGTAGCAAAAGCAGTCTTAAGAGGAAAGATAATTACAAAGAAGCCTGCAGGAAGAAGCGAGAAAATCAAACAACCTAATATTTCACCTAAAGCAACGTGAAAAAGTGGAACAAAATAGTTCATAAAAGGAAAGAAATAATGAAAATAAGACAGAAAAAAATTAAGTATGATGCAGAAGACTATAGAAAAGACCAGTAATACTGAAGAGTTGCTCTTTAGAAGATAAAATAGACAAAACTCTAGCTAGGTCAACAAATAAGAGAAGAAAGAAAACATTAATAGATGAAATGAAAGAGGAAAAGTTTCCACAGTTAGCACAATTTAAAACAAATTTTTGGATCAGAATGTCAGTTTTACTTGTTTTTTGTATGGCAAAGTAGAAAATAGAACAAAGGGATAAACAGACCCATTATTGCATCAGAAGGAAAAAAAGTTCTGAATGTCCACTAGCTTAGACTTCTTAACCTCAGCTGATTCTTGCAGTTGCTGGAATCTAACTTGCACAGCAGATCACCAGCACAGGAGGATCTCTTACAGAAAAGACACAGTTTAATCAAATTAAAATTAATCAAAATTAGCTACTAGTGGCTAAATTTAAAGTGATTGATAAAACTTGCCATTTCTTAAAACTGTTTTATAAATTCATTTCATTGATCAGTTTTTAATATGGATCTGACTGAAGCCCCATGCAGTATTTATATGCTAAAAAATCCCCAGTCCTGAACAATATTGTATAATACACATAGATTTTTAACAATCTTTGTCCAACATACAGTCCATTCTGTTCTCTCCATTACTATTCAATGTTGTATTAGAAGTAGTTTTTTCATTTTTGAGAGTGCTTGTAAATGCAATTTTGTAGTTTAGAGGAAGACATAAAGTAATTCAAAATGAGAAAAAAGTAAAGCTATCATTATTTGCAGATTATATCATAATCTACAGAGAAAGCCCTAAAAAGTCGCAGAAAAACTACTTAAAACAATAAATCAGTTCAGTGAAGTAACAAGTCACAAAATCAATACACAAAAATCAGTTGCCTTTTTATATGCAAACAGCCTCAAGAGGAAGAAATAAAACATCCTATTTGCAGCTGTGTCCCCAAAAAACTTATAAATAAGTTTAAATAAGCTTAAAGGAGATGAAGGCCCTATACAAGGAAATGATAAAATAGAGTTAAAAGAAATAGAAGACATAAAGAAATGGAAACATAGTCTTTGCTCATGGATTGAATCAACATGATCAAAATGGCTATACTCCTCCAAACAATTTACAGGTTCAATATAATTCCAAAAGACCCTGAATAGCTAAATCTCTTCTTACTAAAAAGGGAAAGAACTGGGGGGTATTTCACATCCAGCATTAAGACTATACTACAAAGCCATAATAATTAAAACAACATGGCACTAAAATAGACCAGTGGAATAAAACTAAAAGCCCAATAATAAAACTACACACCTGTGGTTAACTAGTATATGACAAAGGAGCAAAGAATATACCCTGGAACAAGGAGTCTCTTCAACAAATGTTGCTGGGAAAATTAGATTGCCACATGAAAAGTACTACTAGACTACTGCCACAGCGTGCACAAAAATCTACTCAAAATACATGGGAGACTTGACTGTAAGACCAGAAACAATAACATATGTAGAAAAAATAGGCAAAACAATTAAGACATAAACTTCATAAACACCTTTAAGAACTCATTTTTAGAAGGCAGGGAAACAAAGGAGAATGTAAACACCTGAGCCTTTATCAAACTAAATGAGAAAGTAACCAAAGTGAAGAGACACTGTATTAAATGGTAGCAGATATTTGTACACCATATATTTGGTAAGGAACTGATATCGAAGGTCTGCAAAGATCTCAGTCAACAAAAATAACCCAATCAAAAAATTGACAGAAGAGCTAGACAAACACTTCTCCAAAAAAGAAATGTATTCAACATGAAAAAATGTTCATCATCACTTGTTATTAGAGAAAGGCAAATCAAATTGAGATACCACCTCATCCTAGTAAGAATGACCCATATTTATAAAATCAGAAACAACACATGCTGGTAAGGATGCAGAGAAAAAGGAACCCTCAACACTGCTGGTGGGAATATATGCTGGTCGGGAACTATGGAAAGGTGCATGCAGGTTCCACAAAACATTAGAGTAGATCTTTCATATGCTCTATTCTACTCCCAGGAATCTATGCAAAAAACACTAATTCAACAGGAAACCTGCACTCCTGTAATTATAGCACTATTTATAATAGCCAAGATCTAGAAACAACCGTGTCCCCAAATAACTGGATCAAGATATGGTGTATATGTATAGACACAGTGGAATACTACTCAGTGATTTAAAAGAAAAAAAAGATGAACTCTAGACTTTTGCAGCAACATGGATGGCACTGGAAGGGTTGATGCTAAGTGAAATAAGTCAGAGGAAAGGTCTAAATATCAGATGGTTTCACTTGTATGTAGAAGTGTACTAAAAAGTGTAAGACATTGTTAGAAGAAGTAAGAGACACAAAGAAGTGGAAAGCTATTTCCTTCACATGAACTAGAATAAATAGCATTGTTAAAATGACCATCTTAACTAAAGCAATAGACAAGTTCAGCGCAATCCCTATTAAAGTTTTAATGACATTTTTGAAAGAAATAGAACAAACATTATTGAAACGGGTATGGAACCACAAAAGACCCCAAATAGCCAAAGCAATCATGACAAAAAGTATAAAGGTATCACACTCCCAGAGTTAAAACTATGCTACAGAGCTATATTAATTGGAACAGTATGGCATTGGAGTCAAATAGAATTGAGAACACAGAAATAAGTGCACATTTATATAGACAGTTAATCTATGGAAAAGGATCAAATAGTATGCAATGGAGAAAAAAGTCTTCAACAAATTATAGTAGTGGGAAAACTGGACAGCCATATACAAAACAATGAAATTTAGACCACTTTCTCACACCAAACACAAAAATTTACTCAAAATGGATTAAAGAGTTGGATGTAAAACCAGATCATAAAATACATAGATAAAAACATGGGTATGCACTCCATGACAGTGACTTCAGTAATGTCTTTGGGGACTCAAATCTAACTGCAAATGAAGACAAAAGCAAAAATAAATGGGACTACATCAAACACAGTTTTTTCACAGAAAAAGGAGCAGTCATTAAAATGAAAAGAAATCCCGCAAATTAGTATATAATATTTGCGTATTTGACTAATGTCAAATTCTACAAAGAAATCATAAAACTCCAACCAATCATAAAATGGACAGAATTGCTTAGTAAGCACTTCTCCAAAGAAGATAAAGATGTCTGACAACACATGAAAAAAATGCTTATCATCAGGAAAATGCAAATCAAAACCACAATGAGATCGCATCTCATACCTGTGAACATGGCCCATATCAAAAAGAGCAGAAACAACAGTTGTTGGTGAGGGTATGTAAATAAAGAAACCCTTTGTATACTGAGAATAGAGTGTAGTGTAAACCCCATGGAAAACAATATAGACATTTCATGAAATATCAAAAGTAGATATGTCATACCATCCAGCAGGTACCTTGTAAGTAGATTCTTGACAAAAATATTAATTTGAAGGAAAATCTGCACTCCCGTGTTCGTTGCAGCACTATTTACAAGAGCTAAATATGGTTACAACCTAAGTGGCCAACAGCAGATGAGCAGATTAAGGCTATGTGATACCTGTATGCACACACACAAAGAAAATACTATTCAGTTACTGAAAAACAAAATCTTAGGCCCTCCCCTGTGGTGCAGCAGGTTAAAGCACAGAACTAAGAAGCTAAAGCCACTTCAGCAGGAGTTCATTCTCCATCCTGGAGGTGATCCACATGGCACAGCAGAACTCTCCTGACCTGTCCTCTGCTCCCCTCAGCAGTGTACTTTGTCAGTCGGCCTGTTCTGCTCCCCACTCTCTTTCTGGTATATCCTCTCACTGCCCCTGCACCTATGGCCTATACCCCAACTCTGTATGCAAAATAAGTCAGAAGGAGAAAAACAAAAATTTGGATGATTTCACTTATCTGGAATATAAAGAAAACAAGCCAAAGAACAGATAAAACCAAACCAAAGAAACCTAGAAATATCACTGGAGATGAGACTGGAGACTACCAGATAGAAAGGGGTAAAATAGGGAGCAAGTATGGAGGAGTCCTAATGGCCTATGGTTGACAACTATAACTGTCTTCGTGTTGGACATAGTATGGAATAACATACCTGAAGAGTTGTGAATACCACTCTGTGTATAATGGAATAACACATGGGACATTTTTATGCTGAGGTGATGTTCTCTTGTTTCAGCTTTCACAATAAAAACAAGTATTCATTTTATCATATTTATGTGATGAATATACAATATACTAAATAAATATTTAGTGCTCTGTTTTTGCTTTTTTTGTTGATAATTTCACAGTTTAATCAAGTTGTGTATCTTTGCTATAGTAGTAGTTATATGATCTACACATGTGATACAGTTTCATACAGCTATTTACATAAGTGCACATAAAACTGGGAAAATATTATAAGTGTAGATTATACCAGTCATATTTCTAGCTTTGATACTGTAGTCTAGTTATATATAATGTTTCCACTAGAAAAATTGTGTCAAACATATACAAAACCTCTCTGTACAATTTTTACAAAGCCGGAAAGAAACCACATTATATGAAACAAGTTTTGTAACAGAAATTGTTCTAAGTATTAAACTATTATTTTGATCTGTAACAGAATTTAAAATGGGAAGAAGATGGAGAGTGAGTTTCTGAAAATCAGCTGGTTGTAATATTTTGTGTTAGTTTTTGCCATTTTAACTTATTCTACTGACTAAAATACAAAGAAATTATTTACATTAGATTAATTTATATGGAATTGCCTTCAATTATATATAATTGATACTCATTCACAAATTGCATTTTTTTGAATTGTCCTACATGCTAAAATTTGTAACCTCAAAATGTATATAAGGATGTTTCACAGTCATTTGCAGATGTAAAAATTTTAAATCACTTCAGTGCACATGTTCCCACCTCAGATAAGATGAAGTAATGCTCTGTTTTCTTACTTTAGCTTTCACAATATAAGCACGTACCCATTTCACACTGATTTAATGCTGATTTTGCTTTTTTATTGGTGATTTCACAGTTCAAAATGGACCTCATTATATAGTATTAAAATACTATCCTGGTGTTCCTAAGTTCAGTTTATGATGTGCATTATAGAAGAAGCGTGATATAATTTTATTTCAGATGTGAGCTAATTGCTGATCAGTAACATGTAATGTACAGAATGCAGGGGAAACTCACCAATCTATATATCAAGTATCTACAATACATTTTAAGTTGAAAATGCTCTGACTTCCACAATTAGCAGTCATCTTATAGTTTCTTGTGCCACTTTGTAGTTTCTAACATTAAGTTAAAATATTCAAAAAGTAACTTTTTCTTTTGTATATCTGTGTCAACTTTTAGGAACTTCAGTTAGGTGTATGGAGAAAAATCAAGTTCATACTGTCATTTATACAAGGTGTAGAAAGTCTATATTGCTGTTATATCTTAAATTTAATTGTTAGCTGTAGATGTTAATGAAAATTCTAAGTACTTTTTGTTATTTTGTCTCATATATCAGTTACAATTGCTGTGAAGATGTCATTTTAAACAAATAACTGCTAGCTCTTTTCTTTCTCTTTAGTATATTTGTCACCTTGTTACACCAATACTAGAGAGTTTGGTTTCATACATGATACTCTTAATCAGAGCCGACTTGATATAAGCTGTGAACTACAGACATCATGGCAGTTTGGAGATACAAAACTGGTTCACAATGAGGATCTGGAGAAAAAATTTACTTCTAAGAGGTAAGTTACTATAACCTAAAGAAACTTGAGGTTTTGTTATGTTAGTTTCCTCTATGAAATCTTACAAAAATTTGTTTCTGCAATTTCAGATTTGTTAAGTATTGCTAAGGAAAGAAGTACAGAGATTACTTATTGATAGTCAAAATTCAACTTGATGCTGTGATTGAATTTGTATTCAAGGCCTTAATTTACATTCTGCCCCAGTTGAATAGTCTGAATCATCCATGGTTACATTCATCTACTTTAGCAATGCTTGGTTCCAAGAGTGAACAGCACTAAATCACTTTAAACCAGACACTGAGATAGATTGACTTGGGGGCTTCTGGACAAATCAGTCTGATGTGAATTAGGAAGTAGGTTGCTCAGGCTACTGAAAACAGCACTTTGGGGGTCAGTAAAGAGTCAAGTATTAAAGTAACCCTAAAGCTGAAGGTAAGAACAAAGAGATGAAAAAAAACTTGGGCCTTATGACAACTGGGATCAAGGAGTTGATCAGCCATGATAAAAACTGCCTGATTTTTTTATTTCTAGTCTTAAAAGTTATTTTTAAGGAGGCTGTTTGAATGTAAGTGCCATCAGTATGGTTCAGTAGAACACAGTCAGACTTGCTTGGAAATAATGGAGAAGTGAAGACAGTGTTTCACTAGTGACCATGAAAGGATCTAGCAGAACTAGTTGCTGCTGGCAGCCCTCTTATGACCACAGAGGAGCCAAATAATAGGAACACTGTTAAAATACAGCAGTGTAGAAATTCAAGGAAAAGAAACTTTGAGTTCCTAATATTGTTGGGGGGCTGAATAAATTCAGAATCTGCCTGCAGAAGGTAGTATTAATGCTCTTTGAAATATATCCAACTCCTAATCCCCAGATCCTATGACTGTATTTACTTATATAACAAAAAGGACTTTGCAAGTGTGATTGAGATAACTAGCCTTGAAATAGGTGATTATCCTGGTATATTAGTGGACCAGTTTAATGGCAGGAGTTCTTAAGAACATAAGAGGAAGGCAGAAGAGTGGATCTGAGGGAGGAAACAGCAGGAAAAATGTATGAGTAATTCACCCATAGACTGCAGATGCCTTTAAGAACTTGGAAATAGCCTCAGGTACAGCCAGCAAGGAAACAGGATGTTAGTCCTTCAAGTGCAAGTAATTAAAGTGATTGTCATCAAGAAAAGTGAGTCTTGCCCTTGAAATGTAGTCTAGTCCAGATAGCACCTTGATTTTAACCCAGTAAAACTCTTACTTGTTGTCTTATGTACCTATAATATAATAAAGTCTTAATCCACAAAATTTGTAGTTATTTGTGAGAGCAGCAGCAGTGGAGACCTAATACACTGTCCCATATATCTGGACTTCTTATCTGAATTAGACATTTTCCCCCGATTTTACTTATATATAATTTACATACAATATTGTAAAAGTTTTAAGTTATGATGTGATGATTTGATACATATGTAATGAATTGCTTACCGCAATAAAGTTAGTTAATATCCTTTACCTAACATAACTAGCATTTTGTTGTTGTTATAATGAGATTAGTTAATTATCTATGCTTATAACTTTTTTTAGATTAACAGTGGTTTGCAACAACAATGTATATGATTTAGGGTTCTCAAGTCTTCAGGTATAAGTTACTATACCAGATCATTCACCAAAGTAACAATATTCCACTTAGTGCACTGGGCCACCTCCTCCCTATGCTTGCCAGCCTCCTACCCCTTCTAGTAGCTTCAGTTTGGCAGCCATCATGCTGGAGTTGTTTTGGTTTAGTTTTGTGTGTTTCTTTAATTTCTTTGTAAGTCCACACATCAGTAAAGTCATCCAATATTTGTCTTTCTCCTGATTTATTTCACTTAATACAAACCAGCCCATTCCATCTATTTCACATAATTTAAACCAGTCCAGTTTCATCCATACTGTTCCAAATGGCAATATGTCATATCATTTTTTTGTTATTATCAACTTTTTTCAATTTTATTTTATTATTATTATTTTTAATAATATAACAGTTTATTTTTACATCATTTTGTACATTTTTTTTTATCTCATTTGTAATCCCCATGGGTTTCTCATGACTGAGTCACCCGTGTGCCATCACCATAGTCCTGTGCACTTCCCTCCGCACCCCCCCCCATTTTTGATCCCATTCTCTACTCCACCCCCACAAAATGTCTCTGGTATATGGCTGCTCATTATTATTATTATTTTCTCACCTGGCCCATTATACTCCTGCTATGTCATACAATTTTTTTAATAGATGAATAGTATTCCTGTGTGTGTGTTCACCTAGGAACCAGGGTAAGCGGCCGTAGTGACCCAAACTCATATTTTGCACATACTAGACCATGGGGCCCATATTTGTAGGTGCCTCTGTCATGGCAGGGATTGGTTGCAAATACTCTTGCAGTGGTAGGGGCTAGAGCAGACAGCAAGGACTAGGGCCAAAAGCAGGTGCATTGGCCTCTGTCAAGCACTACTGCAGTGAATGTTGGATCTTGCCATGAATCCATGGTAGTAGAGTCAGTGACAGGTTGAGCCACAAGGTTGTATAGATACAGGCCACTTAGGCCCAAATTTGGCACACTTCCAACTGTAGGGGCATTGAGTGTCAAAGTGGACTAATGTGGCTACAGAATTTAGCCATGGTATGCATATGGCAATGTAGGCCACGTGTCTAACGTGCTAGGAGCACAGCAGGAGGGGCTGGGCTCTGAATACCTGCCTATTAGTGGGTGTCAGCTGCAGAAGTCTAGGGTGGTGTGTTGTACTCATAAAACCAAAGAGGTATTAACTAACTGCTGGTAGGATTTTCAGGCTCCTGTAGGGCCATGGTGGGAAGGAGGAAAGGGGAAATTAGGAACTCAGGCAACTGTCATCAGCAAACACAAAAACCCTGTGGGGCAAAAACAAGTTAAATTTGTAGGGTTTGCAGCAGCTATTTTCATTTGTTTCTTCAGTGGTGAAAGTTCCTGGCTTTGTTTGCAGTGTAAGTCCCTAGAAACTGGTCATTCTTGCTATTTTGTTTGCCTGAATATCACTAACCCCTCTTTTCTTCCCTGTCCCCAGTAATGTGTAGTATGTCTCAGCTTTGCCTGTCTCTTGTTGGGGTAAAATTAAACCAGGTCCTTTGCATGTAGTGCTCTGAAGGGGTTGGGAAGCTGGTCACACTTCCCTTTCACTTTCCCAGCAAGGGAAATTCTTCCTGGGTAGTTCCCTCCTAGTGCTGAGCAATACAAGCTTGGTATTGCTGATGATCCAGGTGAAAGGAAACTGTTCTTCCTTCCCTCTTACTGTAGTTAATCTCTAGTTTTTGTTCCATCTTGCTCAGCTTTAATTGGATTGTAGAGCCCTCCTACTGTTTTTGTGCCTAGCTAGCTACCTAATTATTCATTTTTTCATAAGGACCAGAGACTAGGATCCCCTATGCCACCATCTTTGTTATGTTACCACCCTAAAATAATTTCTTATTTAATCTTTGTTAAATCCCACATATTCGGAGTTTTCTATGTTTTATTTCATATGTTGTACTTTTTCTCAGCTGGACAGTGATCTGGTGGATCTGAAAATAAATTTCTTTTTAAGCTCTCCAAAGCAAATAATTTCATTTTCTTCAACTGTTAAAACATACTTAACTGGCCCTCCCTAGTCGTGCAACAGGTTAAAGCACTGCCACAGCCACTGCAGCATGAGTTCGATCCCCGGCCAGGGAGGTGATCCATGTGGTGCAGCAGACCCTGCCTGACATGCCCACTGCTCCCCTCAGCAGTGTGCTTCAGTAGATCTACCTGTTCTGCTCCTGACTGTGTATCTGGTGAATCCTTTCACCCCCTGACCTTGACCTGTACCCCAGTTCTGTATGTACAAATAAATAAATCTTTTAAAATATACTTAAATTAATAGTTTTATTTTCTCCTCTAGTTACCCCCAATAACTAAACAATGTTCTTTTGTTTCCACTTAAAAAAAAAGTGGAAGTTTTAAGCTTTTTGCTTAACAAAAAGCTGTTTATTACCTACTTACATATAAATTATTTTGCAGCTTATCCTGTATAATATAATTAACTATGACATATGGGGACCGGGGCCAGTCCCCAACAGACATAGGCATTCCTTCTGAGGCACTTAGAGCTTGTACTCTGTTGTAGTAGTTTTTCATAGATAGACATTATGATCATACAGCTAATCTTACAAAAGATATCTAAGATTCTGATCTTGTCCCTGTAATACTCATTCTTATATGCTAATTTACATATAACTTCTCTGCCAATATGAGTTTTCTTATATAATTCTTTTAAGTTTCTTTATTTAATGTTTAACAAAATAGTGGTTTAAAATATATATAACAGGCCCTCCCTGGTGGCGCAGCGGGTTAAAGCACAGCACTGAGAAGCTAAAGCCACTTCCACATGAGTTCGATTCCTGCCTGCCC